CTACAATGTAGACGAGTGGCGCTATTATCGCATTCTAATTCATAATACGTAACCAGTCGCTGTGGTCAACAAACTGACTAGATGAGTCAATCAAAAATAAGCCGTTGTTCAGTCATGCTATGGGCTAAAGAGATTTTTCTGTCTTTTCATATCTTTTGGTTAAACTTTCTGAAGGAGATGGACAGAAGCAAATTACCCCTATACCCCTAGTTTCTTGACCCGGTCTGTAGAAAATCGGGAGTAAGCAGTCTATTTTTACGACAATTAGCAAGTTGTATTCTTCAAACCACGTCCCGTATGTCCTAAGAGATTTCGGATGGCCTTGATATAATGTGTGCTTCTGGTCCGTCGTGAACATGAGGTGAGCCAGTTGGTCATCACCACTGGATGGTTGTTTGTCAGTTTCAGTCGATCCCGCTGCTTCATCGAATAAGTGGAGGTGTTCTGTTTTGCGAAGGTCCCCATCCTTCGTTTTTGGAGCTAAAAACAGTGTAAAATTTACTAACGCACTGCGACAAACATCTGAGAGAAGTAATGACTTGGCTGGCTGCATAACTGTCCGGATAGATCAGGGACAACCAATGGGACTGCTCTCAGTTCGCATTGATCACTTAACAGATGGTCATAGACTGTAGCGTCAGTTATCTGTTGACTCGGTCAAACTTGACGTTCGGAGATGTATACAATGTGAAGGTGCAAATACACACTTGTTGACACTAACCAATAATGACGTTTGAACATCTAATCAGGTTTACACCCGCATCGAAATACGTGTGATCTTGTATCATTCAATCGATCGCCAAGACTTACGCCAGCCGGGTTAGTTTCGGACTGAATACTTGAATTAGAGTGCATTTTGGAATGAAGAATGACTGGTATAATGGTTTAGCGAAAAAATATCAGGTTAATAGTTTATAGCTAGAGTGTCATGATTTTGGTTTCCGTATTCTCTTCCTAGTTGTACATTAGTTATAAAATGTGAATCAACACTCGTCTCATTCTGGAAACATTTCGTCATTTGTCTTTTGACTTCAAACAACTGTGATTCTGCAAGTCGTTCTTGACACCACTGGTTGCGTTTTATCTACTTTAGACTTCATTTCGATATTTTTTTGTATAAATCACAAATCGAGACTGTTTCTCAGTTGGCAAGTATATTTTTAAAGCTAAAGAACTTTTAAAAATAGCAAGGCATTATTTCACAATTCAATGCATTTTTACACAAAATAGGATAATATATCTCAGAGGCTTGCATCTGACTTATCTGTTTATGAATATAGTTTTCTGGATTGAAAAGAAAGAGGCATCAACTCAATTCTTGTATCATTTGCACCCCTTATTTTTCTGTTGACCTCAGCACAAGAAATGAGCTGTGATTTAATCTGTACTACATCGCAGTTTCATCTATTTCTTTTTGCGGATCAGGTGATCTGCCCTCGCTTACCCAGGTGGGAATCTGAACATCGAATGGGGCACTAATTTGGCCGATTGATCGATTACAACGTCTTGCCGCCGGCCCATTTCCAAATATGCTTCTCTTTTTCGATGTAACACTTCGCTTCTTCTTCAATTTCTTCGGAATGACTTCATCGTCCTTGTCATCTTTTGACCCACTGAGCGAGCATGCAAACAGACTGCTTAGACTGCTTCCACACGCGGAACTGCTTTGTCTGTCCTCTGATTGGGCGAGTTCTCCGACGCTGTTGCTACACGACCTCACGTCAGATCGACCTGTCACACAACCCAACTCATTCGAACTCTCAATGATGCTCCAGTCGATGGAATTTCGGAGTCTTCTCTGCGATACTTTATCACCAACTGAGTTACAACGATCCAGTGATGCCAGGCGAGATTTAATTTGATGGATTTTATTCTCAGTCTGATAACCAACACCTGCTTGATCATGGTTCGTGAGGCCAGCGGAGAAGCTGACCGAAGATAATATTACACGTTTTTGTGACCGCTTTCGACGCTGGTCGTAGTTTTGTATCAGTTGCAATCCAACCTGCAAAGAAAGATTGAATAGAATGTATGAATTCTGGAGTTATTTTTGTTCACGTTTGCGTCAGCAAGCAAACTTTTACACCATAGATGATTAGCAGATTGTCAGACTCACCAAAGCAATTCGGAGTAATGAATACCAGATTCGTAGAGAAGCTTCACTCGTGGCGCAGAAATAGACGGCATAATTGGCGTCTGTGTTATATGTCGTGTAAGGCTGAAGTACAAGGGATTATGATGAGACACAATACAGTGAAAAGCGTCGGTATATGGGAGCAAGGTAGTCTACATAAAACGTCCAATAATGTTATCAACTGATCCTGAAACAGCTCCATTAGGACTTAGAACAATGTTAAAGTAGTCGCAACGCGTGAGTTTGCAAGCAAAAGCAAACTATATCAATGTGACTAGTTTTTTACCCTTACGGTTACCATACGATATCTTGGTCAACAGTACGGGTTGAAGATATCTTACAAACTTTACTTTAAGCTATTGCAACTCGACTGGAGATGGAAACCATTACCAATTTACTAGATTACCACCAGGTTGCATATAAATGCGAGGTAACCAAATCATGTTAAGATAGAGTTTGGAAGACATGCCTAACAGATACGTTTTAGAAGGTGGGTGTTTTTTGTAACTTACTCGAATGTAAAATAGTTACTAAGATTAGGTCATTACAAGCCGTTAGAGGGGAACAGAAAAGCTGATCTTATATCTAACTGCTAGAATTTTGTGAGGTTTTAATTCCTCTACTGTTTAAAAAAGTTCGTTTGTCTAATAATGTCACTGGCGAAAAATTTATACAATGACAATTACTTATCCTGCAGCAAGGCCACATTTTTAAGCTAACTACTAGTCGGATAGAACTTTTTGCGTAACTGAGTTGTCCGGTTGATTTGTCTGCATCTACTTTGCATTGAAAATGATATCGGCAGAGTTGATCCACGCTTATCTTAACGAGTGTTCGAACATATCCCAAATACTGAAACAATTTTGCATTGTGATTCAACCTTAACTTTGGTAACAGAGAATTTAACCCAATTAATTGCCAGCCATCTACTGGTAAGAGGTCATTCGGGTAACTTTACTAACTCGTTCAGCTTATTGTTAAACGATCGATGTTTCTCAGCTACTGATGTTCAGTGAGATAATTTTTTCATCGAAACTTACCCGATTTTGTTGTATACACAAACTTGCTGATTAAGCAGATTAACTTATCCTGGTACTGATCGTTCAATTTTTGGTTAGACTGAGTGGAACCTATTTTGTTGCTATGCTTGTGCCATGTACTCTGTCAATTTTACGTGTACGGCTGATGAGAAAAATTGAATTCCATCTCTCTTGTCATATACGTCTTGTACTCATACAGATGATTTAAATTAGTGGAACTCATTGTCTTTAATATGAGGTGCCAATTATGCTAATTTGCTAGATGGTTTACCCTCTTATCACCGTGTGAGACCGTCCACCACCCTAAACTGATATTTACAAATAAAAGATCTAGCGACCTTTCCGTACCCATCAACTGACTGCTCATCCTACCCTCCTAATTGTTCGACATAAAAACTGATTCATATAATTGTAAGTTTGGTAATGACAAGTTAATAAGAAATGCTTTCGTCTACCACTTTTCGTATCTTATAACATGATTGTCTGAACATACGTTGAACTAAGACATTTTGCTTGCTGGTCAGAGTTGATTCCAATAGCAGTGTGTGACAAACCATCAGCATGATGGTTTCTCTGGAACTCTTTCTGAGCGTTTGTTTAAATAGATGTTTGAAAGCTTACCTTGTTCTGTCATTACAAACGTCGGTTGAATCACCTAATGTAAACTGTTTGCTAAAACTCAGCACTTTACTGGAGAACTGTTGGGAGTTTCGTTGATTTTAAGTCAAATAGAATTCATTATTTGTCACTTTTGATTAGACTCTACAGCCAGTTCCTTTTGAAAGGAATCTTTCATGAAGTTGCCGTGTTGACCATTGCATTCTTTTTCTTACTTTAGGTATCACCTTTTCCTCATATCTTTAGTCTCGGTCACATTTGTCAGTGAGTAATTATCCGGTTTTCGAATTTTCTTGATAGGAGACTTAATTAATGTCTATTAACTCCAATCAGTAACCCCTGAGCTAAGGGCTGTGAGTCAAGTGGAAATCTATTTTATCAAATCCGCTGGACAATATTTGATGTTTAGTTAAGGTTTTCTTCTGATTAATTTGAATATCGGTCATATTTGATCATAGCTACCACCAACCTATTACAAAAAAGAACTACTAGGCTCGTTTCCACTCTTATCTTTTCAGTCATTATTGCCATTTTGCTTTAAAAATCGAGAAGAAAAATATCATAATTCTCCATGAAAACGAGGACTAATAATAGAGAGGATTAGGTGGTGTCGTACATGCATAACAGGTGTGTTTTGGGGAAAAAGACGGTGGATTCCCGACAAACTAATTATAAACGATAAACTTCTAGCGGTATGCAATGTCCTGTTTCAAGTTGTGTGTAACCGCTTGTCTGCTGCTTCCTAACAGAATAAAATCGAATTAGCATATTTTCTGTGAAGCAGTTGAACTCAACCCTCGGGGTGCGATCAGCCTTAAAAATGTACCAGTTTTTGAGTAGTGGTTTCTCGGGTGAAAACAGACATTGTGAAGTAGACACAAAGGTTAGTGCCTGAACTCTGCTAGGGAAATGGCCAGTCCGGACGACTTCAGTTTATCTCCTGCACCTTGGCTGATATGATAAAACTCGTCCTTATTCGTGTGTACTCGTCAACTATGTTCTCCGCCCAGGCAAATAACTGTCTAGTGGATTCATCCACACCAGTAATTTGGTTGACTGCATATGTATTAGCACTAAGTAGTTTGGAACATTTATGATCTTAGATCCTGCCGGGCAGTCCATCCCCCGGATCATTTGGTGGATTCCATATGAGACAGTGGACGGATGGGGAACCGAGTCCAATTATGAAATTTCCGGGCTCCTGGCGTGGCTTCGTAGCTCAACTGGTGGAGCGCTTGACGCGTTGAGGCATGGAGTTTCTGTCGCTGATTCGAATTCAGCCGGAGCCCTGACTACATATGGTTAAATGTCGCCACCTTATATTTTTTGATTTTCACACCACACACAAGTGTAGATCTGGCCACTAAACCTATCAAGCGTAAGAACTGTGCAGTTACAATATAGGTGATTTAGCTGCGCCGTTTTATCATGATCATTATTGTGGACACTACTTGCACAAAATAAGTAATGCGTTTGTGCCCTCAAATATCTTGTGACGACCACCATCAACATGTTACGTATGCTGTGTGCATGTAATTTTGGGCAAACTGAATGCCATTCAGTGAGGCTAATAAACAGGCATTAAAAACCTGTATGTTACAAGTTTACATCATGCGGTGCCATATTTTTGATCTGTGTTGCTGTTTACGCGGCCTCTTCTGTGATAGTCCTTTTTTTAATTAAAGTAATGGACTGAATTTTGGGGCTTTCACTAAAAGCCCGAGATATTTCCGCCAACAACAGCTGCAATTATTTTTCGAAATCCATGTGATGTAAATCCACCTGAACTTTCAAATTGTCAGGCAATCAAAAAGGGTGTTATATTTGAGAATGTACTACTTTCAATGGTAAATATTGTCGAGATAGTTGGTAAGCGGTACATTTGGAATAAAGACTGTATGAATCAATTACAGTTACGATTTCATTAGGACATCACTACAACGTTAGGTTTTTATTTTGAAGCAATTGAACTACTGGGAAACCTCCACCTCTAAGAATGTAACTGTTTTTAAATGGCCCCATTTTGCTCGAAACTCAATAGCTGACCATTAATGGCATATTATTACATCATAATGTCTGTAAAAGTGGAATCACTCATTGCTTTCTAACGTAGCCCTCATACGAACACGGGAAATATAATTATTACTAGACAAATATACACAAGACAACAACTCGAATAGTAGATTTTCAGTGAAAATATAGGAATAACACAATAACTGTACTCAGTTTAGGTCCACGTAAGTCGTTGTTCTTGGCCTACAGGTCATGTATCTTTGTAATAGGTAGTTGGCCCAAGTACGGCGATGGTTTGCGGTATATTTCCAACATGTTCTCAATCACACGTTGGTGCTAAGAAAGTGGTCTCAATGACATCATGAATTTCGTAAGCAGGTTGTCTACAGACTTAATCTGCTGATAAGATAACAAAACCCTTGTAGCGGGCCGTCAACCGTCGTTCAGCAGCTCCATAATGTCTTCAGAACAGTGTGAGTACGTTGTGATTGAAGTCCCAGTGTTGCAGATAACCCACATACTTTTATCGACAAACCTGTTTTTAGCTTGTTCGTTTTACTAGGCGTTGGCTACCTGGCCACATTAGATCGATAGACTTCTGCTGGTTGGTAGAATTCCTCCAAAAATGTTCGAGAATCACACGGTAGATTTTTGAAATTAACATACATGATAACCACAGTCAAATTTGAGGCCGTATGGGCTGTAATGTAATTTGACGTCACGAATTCAGCAACCCCAAATGTTTTGCTATTTGTATGTTCGCCGAGCTTGGCATTTAGGTTGCAAACGTTTCATCACCAAGCGAGGGACATCATCAGTGCGTAATCGTTTTAGCGTATAGTTTTTTGAGCGTGGAGATTGGTGAAGTTCGATGAATGCCTGCTCTTATATAGCAGAGTGAGTTAACCTTCTGACCTGAATTCTGGTTGGTCGCTCTCTGTCGTTTTTGATCTTTGACCTGGTCTACCATTGGCCGATTCTTGTTGCATTCGAACTTTGACCTGCTGTCTGATTGGCTAGTTTCTGCAGTTCTTGAATCTTTGATCTGCAGATTGACTGCGTGTTCCCTGTTGCTGTCTAACTCTGACCTCGAATCTGATTGGCTGGTCCGTGTAAATTGATTGAGTGAGTCCTTTCTTCGTTTTGAAGATTCCGTTTGATTGGTTATTCATTGTCCCGTCTCAACTTTGGTCTGATCGGTTCAAGTTTCTCCGTTTGGGTTTTCCGCCATTTGGACTTGTTGGTATCAGCATCTTTTCAAATCCTTGGTTCGCATTGGCTCATAGACTTTGTCTAGCTCGATGTGTTTGTTTATTGATCCGGCTGATGAATACCAGGCTTTGAGAAATTCTCTTGCATGTCTGGTGTTTGCTTGCGTAAGGACCTTTGCGGTATTCAAGTTGAAGGTATGTCCAGTTTCATCCTCATGGACGGAGATCAAAGAAAATTGATCGTGCCTCTTGATGGCTAATTCGTGTTCATGTATTCGTGTTGATAACTTCCGTCCGGTTTGGCCGACATAGTGTTGTTCACATTCATTGCATTGAATTTTGTAAACGACGTTTCTTCTATCGGCGGGTTTGAGTTGTTCCTTTGGTTTTGATAGTAATCTTCGTAACGTTGCCGTAGGCTTGTGTGCTAGCGTAATACCATGTGGTATCAGGAGTCTTGCGGTCATTTCTGATACTGTATTGATGTATGGTAGTACAGTTCGTTTTGTTGGTGGTTCTGTGGAGTTCGAATTTCTTTCTTTCTGCAGTAAACTCCGTCTGATGAAACTTCGTGAGTATCCGTTGCGAAGAAATACTCGGTACAAGTAGTTTTCTTCCTTTCTTCGAAGCTCTGCAGTGCTGCATTGTGTTTCAGCTCGTTTGAGCAAAGTTCGAATGCAGCTCCTTTTTATGGCAGACCGGGTGGTTGCTGTGAAAACGACGAACAAGTCGTCCATGTCAAGAGACTCAACTTCAACACGAGAGACGCAACAAACAAAGAATAATTGGCAAACTTAGAGCACACTATGATATCGAACGGCTTGCCAGAAGAGGCCCAACATCAAATCCGACAAACCATTGTCCCATCATGACCCGCAGCAGGTTGTCCAATAACCTCACCAAACGTGAACAACGTGCACTGAACAACCTTAAAAAGAATGACAACATCATCATCTTGCCAGCTGACAAGATATGGATCACAGTTGTCATGGACAAAGCAGATTACGTGGAGAAAGCGAAACAGCTGCTCAACGACACAACCACCTACCGCCTACTCAATGCTGATCTTACCACAAAACTGGCCAACAAAATCAACACTGCACTAAAGAAACTTGAAGCTGCGCATGAGATAAGCAAGCAGTAGCGCTGGAAAATGCAACCGAATGATGCAACCACGGCTAAATTCTACGGATTGCCAAAAATACACAAAGATGTTATCCCACTGCGACCAATTGTAGCCCTACCTGCAACACCGACATACCATTTGGCCAAAGACCTATTCAGACGGCTACGACATCTGATCGACGGATCAGAATATTCCATCGGCAATATGTGCAACTCTTGAGCAAATTGAAAAATATCAAGATAGAAGAAGACGAAGCAATGATCTCGTTTGACGTCACAGCTTTCTTCACGTCCATCGACCTTAGTTTAGCCAAAGAAATATTGGTAAAGCTACTAGAAGAATATCCCCGACCGAATGAAACACTGAAACCGGAAAGCATATGCAATCTCATGGAACTATGTCTATCGACATACTTCAAATTCAATGGTCAAATCTATGAACAACTTAAAGGAACCCCAAAGGGCTCTCCCATATCCGGATTCATCGCAGAAGCGGTCATGCAGAGGTTAGAGAATATCGCGCTACCAGCGATCATACCTAAACTTTGGATACGATATGTTGACGATACATTCGTAATCCTCAAATGCTCAATGATTGAAGACACACACAGAATGCTCAACAACGTTTTCAACAATATCAAATTTACAATGGAAATTGAAGCCGACAACCAGCTACCGTTCCTGGATGTCCTAATCAGCCGCAAACCTGATGGAACACTGGAGACCTCAGTTTGCCAGAAAGAAACACACACGGACTAACTCCTTAGTTTTCACAGCAACCACCCGGTCTGCCATAAAAAGGAGCTGCATTCGAACTTTGCTCAAACGAGCTGAAACACAATGCAGCACTGCAGAGCTTCGAAGAAAGGAAGAAAACTACTTGTACCGAGTATTTCTTCGCAACGGATACTCACGAAGTTTCATCAGACGGAGTTTACTGCAGAAAGAAAGAAATTCGAACTCCACAGAACCACCAACAAAACGAACTGTACTACCATACATCAATACAGTATCAGAAATGACCGCAAGACTCCTGATACCACATGGTATTACGCTAGCACACAAGCCTACGGCAACGTTACGAAGATTACTATCAAAACCAAAGGAACAACTCAAACCCGCCGATAGAAGAAACGTCGTTTACAAAATTCAATGCAATGAATGTGAACAACACTATGTCGGCCAAACCGGACGGAAGTTATCAACACGAATACATGAACACGAATTAGCCATCAAGAGGCACGATCAATTTTCTTTGATCTCCGTCCATGAGGATGAAACTGGACATACCTTCAACTTGAATACCGCAAAGGTCCTTACGCAAGCAAACACCAGACATGCAAGAGAATTTCTCAAAGCCTGGTATTCATCAGCCGGATCAATAAACAAACACATCGAGCTAGACAAAGTCTATGAGCCAATGCGAACCAAGGATTTGAAAAGATGCTGATACCAACAAGTCCAAATGGCGGAAAACCCAAACGGAGAAACTTGAACCGATCAGACCAAAGTTGAGACGGGACAATGAATAACCAATCAAACGGAATCTTCAAAACGAAGAAAGGACTCACTCAATCAATTTACACGGACCAGCCAATCAGATTCGAGGTCAGAGTTAGACAGCAACAGGGAACACGCAGTCAATCTGCAGATCAAAGATTCAAGAACTGCAGAAACTAGCCAATCAGACAGCAGGTCAAAGTTCGAATGCAACAAGAATCGGCCAATGGTAGACCAGGTCAAAGATCAAAAACGACAGAGAGCGACCAACCAGAATTCAGGTCAGAAGGTTAACTCACTCTGCTATATAAGAGCAGGCATTCATCGAACTTCACCAATCTCCACGCTCAAAAAACTATACGCTAAAACGATTACGCACTGATGATGTCCCTCGCTTGGTGATGAAACGTTTGCAACCTAAATGCCAAGCTCGGCGAACA